AACCCGAGACGCGCGGCGTCGAGGCCTCTGAAGCGCGAGGTCTAGAAGTGGCTGAAAAAATTGTATATTAACCACAGTTGTAAAACCGTGGTTAATATACTATTTTTTTCACTAGCAGCCATGAAACATGCAAATGTCGACTCATTTAGAGGTAGTAAATTCAACTTTTGCGACCACGGGTTCAAAAAGAAGACTGAGGTTATGTACGCAATATTTGATGTGATTATTTCTTAAAAAATGAATAAATGTGTGCTACTAATATTACTTAAATATACGCATGGTAGTTGTAGACGGCAAAAGATAAAATGATTAATTCAGAGACAAGTGTAAACGGTTTTCTTTGTTTTGAAGATTTAGATTAAGTTTGATTAGAAATCAAAACAAAATCATGTTGCGTCGAAAAATTGAACGTTTATTTTTTCAATGTATTCTCTTATGGTTTCTACTAGTGAAAAAAATATACAAAGGATAAAATTTGATTCTGAGAATCTTTTTTTGTTATAACTCCTGTAAGCTAAAATAAAGAGATGTGTGTATGTTTTAGTGAATTATTTCATAACAAAATTTTGTGAATTCTTCAGCAACATTTTAGGAGAATGGGTTCTTGATTCGATTAATAAAATTTATAAACCTGCAATTGTGCAAGATTTCAGAGCATTCGGTTTTGTAGTTTCCATGTAAATTGTAAAATGTTATAGAAAAATTCAAGGCGGATTTTTAAACAACACGTATTGCAGTACGTTATTTTGTGATATTTAAATAACATTTACTATAGAAACCTGAAATTCTTCTGAGCTTTACACTGTTGTAATAAATAAATTCAATATCCACTGTTAAATTTTTTTATTCTTTTTCTTTACATCATGTACTACGATTTGTTGATATTTATCATAAATTTCGACATAATCCTTGATGCATTTGTATATAAATGTTTGTTGCTTCTGAAAAAAAAAAAAATTAAAAATATAAATACGTAAGTACCGTGTGTTCATTAATTACTTAGATCAAAGAATGTTGTAGCACTTCGAACGTGTCTTCTCGATTTCTGATACTTTTCAGATTATGCAATTAAATAAACACATGTGTAATGTTAGTTGCATACTTGCATAAATCTAAAATATAAGAACGAGTTTACGAAGACAAAAACAGAGTTAAGAGCAGGTTTTACTCAAGCCATTCATTCGTTTCTCGAACTGTGAAATCAGTGAATTCTGAGGGACGTAAACATTTTTGAGGGGACAAGTGAATCTTAGTCACAGCGTACACAGAAAGATTCAACTTAGTTCGGGTGCAGTCGTTGACTTGTAACACTCCACCGATTATAATATGACAAAAGTATTTCAAAATACGATCTCGTCGTGTATGTACTTTGCGTTTTAGAGTGGGAGTAGATGTGAGCCCCCGCTTAGCGTCTTTCCTCACCTGACCCGCGTGAGGGTGACAAGAAATCGGCTTGCATTTTGTCCGAAAACATGGGTTCTGTTTTTTCGTTTTATAGCAACATTTTGTAAATTACTACGTCACAATTTTATCTACACAGTTACGAATAATTGATCTTGCTGTCCCCGTTTGAATTTTTCGAAGGTGTCATTTAATTGCCGAGTTACAAACGCTTCTTTTAAGCCAATTTTATGTGATTTTGCTAATTTTTATTGCAACAGTTATTTATCAGATTTAAAAAATTCGAACGGTGGCAAAATGCCACATCCTTTGACACACACAGCCCATTGCGCGGGCTACTCTCCGTGTGGGTAAAACCTCCTCTTAAAGAAACTGTTGGAAATGGTATTCATTCTCCCGTATATATAAATTGACACTTCTTTTCATGTTGTCAAATACATTTTGTAGTGTAACAGGAGTAATGCGAGCACACTCTTCGGTAATTCTGTCTTTCAGTTCTTCTATGGTGTCAATGGGAGTTTTAAAAACAGTGTTTTTTAGATGACCGAACAAAAAGTAATCCAGAGGGGTTAAATCTGGTGACTTTGGGGGGTACTTAAGAAATGAATGTAAACTTGTCACTCTATCAGCAAAGAATTCATGTAAAAAATTCAAATTATCTATTGTTGTATGTGCCGTGGCACAGTCATGTCGAAACAATCCGACTTGGAGTTCATCATCCTGTAACTCTTGTACAAAAGCAGTTAGGATATTGTTTCGACATCTTTGTACTGTTACAGTTTCCTCAAAAAATTTAGGTCCAATGATACGTTTGTGGATTTTTAGCACTCCAACATCTCATATTTTGAGAGTTTACATAACCTACAAAACAAAATCTCACTCAATTGTGATTCAAATTGACACAAACTTAGTACCGGAGAGATGAAACCAAGTTTCATCAGAAAAGAATGTTAAATCCATATATCTAATACTACCATATTGCTAACTCTTCAGAAGTAACATAGAAACGGTGTTCACGGACAGAGAAAAACAGAATATGTTGTTTTCTGTCTATAAGAGTACCGAGGGTATGTGCGCATGTACACAAAATAGAAACGAAAGTACGAAATGTCAAAACGCACCCAATCACGCTATCGACTACAAATCAAGCAAGTACGAGAGTATGCGCAGTACTGTTTAGTACCCCAGAGAGACAGAGAGGTCCGATATATTGCTCTGCAGTTATGTTTTCGGACTCTTTTGAGGCCAGTTAGCAATATAGTACTATTAGATATATGGTTAAATCCATCATGTTATCAACATTGAGATGGTCAAGAAACCATCACCAGTAGGGAATACGTCTATTAATATCAGCCGGCAAAAGTTCAATCGGCATGAAGTGTGTGCCGAAAAAGATGGAGCTTTTTTTCACAATTCTATGGGATGTACCCACGGAAAGTCCAACTTCTTGCGACAGATGCCTCGATGAAGTTGATGGATTATTTTCCATGAATTCTTCAACATCATCTATGACTTCACTGGTACACAATGTTGGTCGTCCAGCACCTTTTTTGTGGTGTACACCACCTGTTTCGCGCACAGTGTTTCTAACAATGTTGTAAATATCAGCAACAATAACATTTTTGTTGGAATTCTTGTAAAACAGCAACACTATTATAACTCCATTCGCCTTCAATGGTACCTCTATTTCGGAAGTAGGACTCAATCATGAATGTTTTGTGTTCCACAGAGAAAACAAGTTTACACTTTTATTTTTGAGTTGAGTTTGAATTGGAAAAATTCACCGTTGCCAAAGACGTTAACAAACTAATACATGACTGGCCCTTTTTTGGATTATAATTTTGGTTTTTTAGGTGAAATTTAAAGTTGAATTATTTTCTATATTAGTTTTTGAAGCTGTAAAATTAGCATGTTTTTGCATGTTGCTTATCAGTGCACCCCTTTTTGGTTCTTAAGGCCTTTCGTTCTCTTCATTCATTGTAGTAGTTAAGAAAGTAAAGAAAACCAGGTTACTGCTTTGCTGTGAAATCTTGTTTAACACGAAACAACGGCAGAATAAGTTTTAACGATTTCCAAAAATTCTTGAATGGAATAGGACCCAAACTATAAATATTTATTAAAAAAAATATATTTGTTAAATGTTCATGTATGTCTGGGACTACTATAATTTGTTGAAGTCGAACCACATTTTGGAGGACCAGATAGATGAATGAAGGTGGGTGAGCTAGCCGAGGCTAGGGGCTAGAGGCATCTCAACTGAGACAGTTCATTTTAGTAACCCCCAACACAATGGTGGAATCAGCCCTCTTAACAAATTTCTGTACACAAATTAATAAATCTCAATGGATTATGCAACTGTTTAATTCAAAGAATCAACAAAAATAATCTTATCACAAATCTTAGCATTTTCTTCGTCGAATTGGTTATTGAATTTGTGAAACAAGTATAATTTAGTGCCCAGCAAAATAAAAGTGCAACAATATGAGATTAACTGTTCTGAATATTTACAAACTTTTATTTTTATGTACCGTCCTATTTCAACAAGAAAATGTAGGACTACCACCTCCAAAGAAAAACGGTTGTCAGTTAACAATATATAAAGAATCTGACATACCTCAACGGAAAAATTTATTAAGTAGCAATTTTTGGGAAAATGATGACTGGGTGATAAAAGAATCAAGCAGCTTATTAACTAGACCCCATTTTGAAGCAGATTTTAAAGGTATGTATTTTTGAACTAGAAAGGGCATAAAATGTGTCATTCTGAGCGTAGGTACGCTAACACTAATGGCTGATTTAAATCTATTCCGCATACGCAAACGGGCCCGGATGACGCATCCCGAAGCGGGTCTGTAACCGACGCGACGCAAGTTTCTTGCGGTACTTACGTTCGACCAATACGGGTCCGTTTGCGTATGCGGAATAGCAGCCCTAATGGTTAACTGCATGTCTTCTCTACGTTTAAAGCTTCTAGACTATCAACAAATAGGTCTCCCGTTTTCACCCTTTATCGTTTGTGATCTGTTAGTGACTGACTTCAGTAGCCAAATAGTTTGGGAAACTACTAGAGTAATTGTTGCCAAATTTAAAAGTATTTTAACAATATATGTGGTTCTTTACCTGCAGTTTAACGGCTTCTCATATGCCTTTATTTATAGTTAACGGGAGTTTCAAAAAAATTTTTGAAAAATAAAATTTTATAATTTTTCTAAAAAACTGGGTTTGTTTTATTGCACTTCAGGGGCGAGGGATGTTCTATCTAAATTTTTAAATTTACGCACCGTAATAAAATTCTTGTCTATTTACTTCAACCTTGTCAAATATTTATATTTTTTTCAAGTTTCCTAATTCAAGTGTGAATAATTTTTAGGTTTGTTGATTTTTGTTCACAAAGTTTTTAGAAAGGACAAAAAAATAAATTCTGATTAGCGAGTTATCTTGTTCACGATAAGCTTGTGTAAAATGTGAGAGCAATCTGCGCTATAATTTTATCGTACAGTTTTCTCTGATTTTTTTCCAATAGCTACTATATATTATCAAAATTTTGAGATGACGTTATCAGATCATTAGTAGTGGTAAACAAATCCTATTTATCGGTTACGGAATTCTACGGTGTACATTGAATTTCACAGTACCTACCTATTCTAAGTAGTACTTTCCAGTATTATTTGCTTAATAAAATAAATACTCAACAGACGATAAACAAACACAGAGACGGATAACTATAAGATATAATTTTTGGTGGAGACGAATAAGCAAAGTTTACTAAGCGCTTTATTTTCTATCTTTTAAAGTAGACTTACGATTTCATAAAAATTTGTTCAGTAGTTTCTCCGGTGCCCCGGTTAGGTGTCTAATAAATCAAGAGACAAACATGTTTCTAACAGACTGTCTTAAAATTGAATTTGTTTATTCTTTTCAGACTTCAGACCAAAGGAGCAGAATGAATTCGTGGTGAAGTTTGATAATAAACTGACTTCTTACAGTTTTTCGGTAAAGGGAACAAATGAGATAAAATTTTTCGCAATCGCAGGAGAAAACAGCACTCCTTTTCACTGTGAAATAAACGAAGCAGAAATCTGGACCACAATTACTATTTTCGTAAAGGATAATAAGTTGTTCTATTATAAAAGTTATGACACATTAATGCACAAACTCCTTCTGGTTCCAAAAGAATTAATGATAGAACCTTCGACACCAGCAAACTTTAAAATCTACGAATGTAAGTATATACTCGCATTTAATAATGCAGTAGATGGTACATGTGGTTATGATTTACGGGTATTAAAATCGGCGTGGGTAAAGCTCAATAATTTACTTATTTTTTAGTAAAACAAATTTACACGACTAACTACATAGCGAAAATGTAACAGTGAATAATTCTGACTCAACTTAATTTATATACTCATTAATCGACTCGGCTGGAGTAGAGCCTATTGCCGACGATGGTCCCTATTCAAACCAAACGTTTCTTCTGGACAGATCGCGATAGGCGCTTTCGAGGTTGTTCTGGAATTGAGACTTTCTCAGACTTTTCTTTAGTCGAACGCCTCCGTCACTGATAATGAGTCACCGGTTAACGCCGTAGATACTAGAAAACTCATAGGCGTTGTACCGGGGCGGCGTATGAGTTTAGTTCGTAATAATATACTATTGGCATGAATAATATAATTTTCATTTTTGAATTAACTGTGTGCATGTATGACAAAAACAAAAATATAAAAAAAATCTTTCACTTTTTATTCGCATTTTCTCTGCAACAAAAGTTAAAAAAATGCATATATTGCATTTATAAATACATATGTAATTTTTCAAAATATTTTAGTTTAATGTTGGCAAATAATTGCATTTTCTGGATTGCAAAATATCGTAAAGATCATCAGGTCGGTTTGAGTATATGTTTTTTTTTTGAAAAATATTAAATTAATGAAATAAGCAATACTATTACTATATACCAACTATATATTATCCAACAAAATTTCTTAATAAAATTGTTGACCCACAAAATTGATGTTTTCTCTACACTTGATTAATTTGTTCTTAATTAAAAATAATGGATTTTTATTTTTAGATGATTTTAGAGAAGCCACTAGAACTACTAAGACACACAATATATTGAAAATTCCAGGTTCCAAAGAGGTTTATTTAATTATCTCTGTCTCCTTGTGCAACACCTGCGTTCTGGTTATAACATATAATTATGATAATTGTTTAATTGTTTCATCAAACAGCCATAATAATGAAAGATGGGAAAGATATAAACTAAAAATAAATCCTATAATTTCCAACCAGGTGAAGTTTAATCGAATCCAAAATCCCCCATTGGAAAATGGATTCTGGAGATTACACTTAACACTAACAGATTACTCAGAAGAAGCAGGTAAACGTTTTGTTGCTGTAATGTTTTCGACATAAACGAAAGTATTAACTGTCTTGGCATTTATTCACAGGGTTTTTGTGTTTTTAATTTTGGGCGTGGAGACTATTGACCAGTTCGGCTACCAATGAAAATTAGGGTATATAAATTGTTGCAAATACATTATTACTGATTAGTTCCTTGTTTATTGATGTATATATTTTGGGCTTCACTTCTTGGAACCCGAAGATATGATTGATTTTCTAGTAAAGAATTATCTTGATTAATAAATGACTGATGTCCATGTCAGAGTTGTCCAGTTTTCGCCTTCAGTTTGAGCTTCTGGTTGTAGTTTTCCACATCGAGCCACCAAGGCTGTAAATCATTTCATTCTAACGTATACCTACAGTAGCGACATAAGGTTCAAAATTCTTTGTTCTTGGTGTGGCCAAAATTTTTGACTTTACACACAACGTGCGTTCAAAATTCTCACTCCTTTCTCTTTCACTATTTACTCTCTTTAAAAATAAAATAGACAAATGATATTTGCATTTATTTTAATCCACTGTTTACAAGTGTCAGCAGATGCTGCTATTTTGCTTAATTTTGTTACTTGTAAATCAAAACAATTTCGGTAATTTTTGTTTTAGATGACGTAGTTCCAGAAGCAAGAAAATATGACGGTTTAACAAGGCGTGGAATATCAACATCGTATCCATCCTTTCGCGGTGTGTTCCTTTACAATCGTACTAAAGAAATAAAAATAAAAATGTTAATTTTAGACACAATAACGTTTTCAAACATATCGCCTCCAACATCAAATGACTCAACGAAAGTTTATTTTGTGTTCACTAAAAATGGATTTATAAACTCAACAGAAGAAGTCATTGCTTACGCTTTAATTTTATTGGAAGTGCCCGTTGATATACAAGGTACAAATAGATATTGGGATGGAACTTTTAGAACTTGGCCTTCCATACCGAAAAATTCTTTACAGCTTACACCCGATCTTTGGAATCCATTCACAGGTATGTATTCATCAGATGACTGTACAACTAAAGTTTAGCTGTGATTTTAGATGAAATACAGACCTGCAATTTCATAATTGGGGCTGTCAACAGTTGTTGTAAAGAATATTGTTATAATAAACCTTTAAAACCTAACACTAAATATTGGTTAATTGTTAGAGCTCTAACGAATAAAGCATATAATGACAGCTCTCTACTCTCCTTCCACACAGGTAAGTTTTTTTTTAAACGTGACAAACATTTCAGTAACATTTTTTACACTGAAACTCCTCATCATCTTGTTACCTTCACCTATAGAACTTTAAGTAAACCAACTGATTAACGACTATTACAACGTAAGACAATTCAAGTCATTTCTTGACGCTGTAATTAGTACTTAATATTGAGAACAACTTTTTAATAAATGAAAAGGGTCGTAGGTATATAAATGAGAATATGTTGTCATACAATTTTGATTTTTTTACAAAAATCTGGATGACTATGGTAAAAATTCGACACCGATTTATAAATTACAAGTGGAGAAGTATGTAATTTTATAAAATTTAAATAAAATTTACATATCTAAAAGTTGGAGATGATGTCATATGATTGTTGGTGGGATGATCAGATAAATTTTGGTTAGCGTTTTAGCATCTACACGATATTTCTAATATACATACAAAGTTTGACAACAATCGGTCTGATAGTTTAGAAGATTATCTGTCTAATAAAAATAGACACAGATGGAAGCAGACGGCAGGCGACAGACGGGAGACAGCGGACAGATAGACAGACGCGAGAGACCTATGTTTTCGTATTCTAGAGGTCATGAAACGTCGAGAACACATAAAAGTAGCAGATAGCCCGATTGACTCGATTACAATACTTCCTTAGCTTACGCTCGGGAAGTAAAAATTCCAGTGCTTGTGTAACACCAAAAGCATTTGTGTAATTTTTGTTTTAGACAATATTGCAACCGAAACAACTCCAGTATATACAACAATTTTGCTAGAAGCAAGCCAGTTTAATAATTTTACATCGCCAACGGTTCAAAAATCTGTATCATATCCATTGCTTGGCGGTATGTTGCTTTATAATCGCGCTAAAAAATTATAAATATATTAGTTTTAGACACAATAACGTTTTCAAACATATCACCTCCGACCTCAAATGATTCAACAAAAGCTTATTTTGTGTTATCTAAAGATGACCTTATAAACTCAACAAACGAAGTTATTGCTTACGCTTTAATTTTATTGGAAGAGCACTTTGACATACAAAGTACAAATGGATCTTGGGAGGGAACTTTTAAAACTTGGCCTTCCATACCGAAAAATTCTTTACAGCTTACACCGAATTTTTGGAATCCGTTTTCAGGTATGTATCTATTCAACAAGTGATAGTAAAGCTAAATTCTAGATAATGTAATTTTAGATGACCAACACATCTGCAATTTTATAATTGGGGCTAACAGCAGTTGCTGTAGAGTACATTGTTATAATACACCTTTAAAACCTAAAACTAGATATTGGTTAATGGTGAGAGCCTTCACGAATCAAGCCTATAATGATAGCTCCCTGTTATTTTTTCAAACAGGTAATTTAGAAAGTTTACTTTTTTATTTATTATTTAATTCTTATATTTTATTTGTATTTTCCTATAACATTTACAGCTTCCGAGGACAGCTATAGCGTCAATACCAGTAACATTTCACTAGGTGTTTTAATTCTTGCAATTTTGGTAACGGTTGGCATAGTATACATAATATACAAAATAAGAAAACGAAAAAATCAAGCAGCTCTTATCCAAGAAGAAGAGGTGGAGCCAATCATTAAAGGGCAGGTTTTAGGCCTTAAAAAACCTCAGAGGAGAAATACATTTTAGGACCGAATTTTTATAAAAATAGGCAATAAAATTTCCTTTTAGGCAGTTTTAGGAAATAAAAATAAATTCTTTTTTAATCGTTACTGAAAACATGATTACAAATATTTTAATTAATAATATTAATACTACCCTGTACTAACTGAATGGCACGCGGCTACTTTATCTGCTATGGCGTCAATCATATGGGGACGATAATGAAAAGGGAGACTTATTTAAGAATAATATTGATGTTGCACATAATGATTTAAAACAGTTTCTTTGAAAGTGTGAGTACTTTTTAGAGATTGAAAAGATACGAATAAAAAATGTGACATAAATGGTGTTTTTTTTATTTATATAACAATAATACAAATTAAACAAGCAACACGAATTAAGCCAACAACGAACTTGGTATAGGAAAAGTCCTGACATAACACACCGAACTGGACGTAAACCTAAAGCTATTTTGAGGTTACCATGATTTAATGAATAAATACAATCTCCACTGTTTAATTTTTTTATTCTTGTTTACATCATTTACTACAATTTGTTGGTATTTATCATAGTTTTCGATATAATCCCTGATGCATTCATAAATAAATGTTAGTTGTTTCTGAAACAAAAAAGCAAGGATTGAACATGCCAATACATATATAGTGTTGTAAAAATATTGTTCCAGAGATTTTACTTAAATCGTGCGTTTGTGTTGTTAGGATCATATGTTTTTAAAAAGAAAAAGTTTCTGTTTATTTTCCTACATCGGTTTAGAGCAGCGTTCTGTATGCAGCGCGAAGCACAATTAATTAATTGATTAATTAATAATATTTAATTTAAGATCAAGGATAACAAGACAGAACACTTTCACTATTTTTAACTAATTTTGCCTGAAATTAAATGGACAACCAACTTTTTATTTTTGGAACAATTAATAGATACAATTCGCGAAGTCCGTAGTGAAGAAATAATGATTAAAAAAAACTTGGAATCACCATTTTTCTTCAAAATTAGTGTTTAACCATTTGGAAACATTCCTTGCGTAGTGCGGTGAAGCCCCGTCATCCATGAATCACAGAACCCGCCCAAGACGTCGGTAAACATATTTTGTAAAAAAAGTCTAAATAGATCACTGCTTATACACTAATAGAAAACTGCCGTTGAAATCTTCGTTGCAAACTAAAGATCCGTTTTCAACAAAATGTTATAGAGAAAAGTTTGTAATTTGAACCAGTTAATGTTTTGGCACTCATTTCAAGAACACCTTGTACCACTCACCGTTCTGTTAACGAACGATCTTCCACTTCTTCGTGCAAGTCGTATGGCATTACACACATCAATTTCTAATTCATTTTCATACTTCTCTACGATATATGAGAAAACAACAAATAAGCCACAAGCTGTAAATCCATCGCTAAAAATATAATCCACAAAAAAGATAACATAACGGGATAAGTACTGAAGAGAAATCTTGACAATGAACCTTTTTGGTTTTGATATCAAGATTGACATACCTGCAAGAAACTAAAACTAGTTTTTCCTTGTCTGTATCTCTGTGAAGATGGTTTAGCAAAGAAATAAAGCTATGTACTGAATTCGGAACCAACTGATTCACTTTCCAGTTGTTAAATTGAAAGATATATAATTTCCCGTCGTAGATCTTCTGTAATGTTTGATAAAGATGTTACGTGCTTGGAGCTTGTCTTTGTACACAGTTTTACCTCTTTCGAAATTGTATTGTATATCAGTAAGGAGCCTTCCGTCATCAGGCCGTAGGTTGTGTTTACAACTCGATTGCGGGTAATGTTTATCGTTTCTAGAGATCCACTTACGTGGGTCGTGACAAGAAATTTCTGAGTAAAAAATACATCATAGAAAGAGTGTAACACCACTATAAAATTAATACTAGTTTAATGCCTTGAGTTTACTTTTTACCTTGTTTAAGAATAAAACCCAACAAATCGATTCCCTTGCCACCATTTTCCAGAAATCTATAAGTTGTTCCTCTTTTGGTTCCCGAGAAATAAAATATTTTCTCCTCTGTCCATATCGTGCAACTACAAATATGTTTAACCGTGTTTTAAATATACCTTTTTGGTTTAGCTGCCAAGTACTAACCTATCACACTTTCAAAAGGATGTCGAGGAATGCAGTACTGAAGACTAACTTCTTGAAAAATATTATCGTAGTGACGCAGAGTTTCTAAATACTTAAACTGTTGTTTTATATCGTCGTGTTTTATATTCTGTCCTATGGAATATTGAAACGGACTTGAATGTTCCAAATAGTATTCGTTCATAAGTAAGTGTGAAAAAATGTAGTGCTCCTAATGTTAAAAATAGTATTAGTCAATCACGCATACAAGTTAACAGTACAGATTTTTAAAATCTTGTTATTACCACGTTGGTGATCATAGACGCCCGTTGGTCTCTAAGTGTTTTTGTTAAGCTGAAAAAGTCAACTTTATTCTCTTTACTAATCATCTGTAGTGCTAAGTCACATAAAATTAAAATTCCCACTCGACCTGTACCATAACTAGAAATCACTGTGTTAGCTTGCTGTTAGTTCTGCAAAACATTAAACGACCAACCCTGAATGGAAGACAATCGGTCCACGTGGATTGTCATACTGTTGTCTTATAAGTTTGACAACTGGTAAAACGTCATTCGGGTAAACCATATTGGAATCGTCAAATCTCCACTTGATATGAATATGATGTATAATTTTGCTCTTGTCGCCGTAAGCTATTTCAAGCTCTTGATAAGCATATAGTTCAAAAGTGGTTTCCTTACGCAATTTTATTATTATTTTACCATATTCATGTACCGCTGATGCTCTCTGGGGCCAATACTCTGCACACATTCGCTGAAAAATAAAAAACTTAATTGTTAAAAAGAGAATCGTCGTCTGGAAAACTTTACCTTTTTACGTTCAATAAAATTTGTCGCCATTATTATAACACTAACATTTTCTTGCCATATCATCCTCCAAAAGTCTTTGATGGTGGAGAATTTGGGTGACTGGCAAGCGATGTAAGCTTTTGGACGATTGTAGCCCTGAAATTGTCATTTTCATTTTTCGTAGAGTAAACAAAGAAACTTACGTCAATGTAGCTAGCATTTATGTAGTCCTCTGTTCCTACACTTTTCATTGGCTTAAGAACAACTCTGTTAGAATCGTCTAAAAAAACTGCGTCAGATAAATGATTATTAGAATTATAAAAATTACAAGGTATAACTCGGTTTCGATCTCTGTTCTTGTTAATATTATTAGGTTGCAAACCAATTCTAAAAGAACTATGGGGCATAGGATCTGAAATGGCCTGAAAACATTCGAAAGCATGCGTTATTGTTAAGCAGGCAACCAGTAATACAGTTATATTTGTATGAAAAACTCACATTGAACTGGATTTTTAAAGTTGTAAGGAATGTCGGTTGCGAACAATGATTTTGAAGACTGTTGAAGTCGATGACTGTGGTTTCAAGAGGTTTCGTCTTCATTCTTAGCCTCATCTCTTCTTCTTGGATAATAGTTGCTTGATTGTTTCGTCTTCTTATTGTATATATTATGTAAAATAGGACAACCATTATCATCATTACAAGAATTAATACTCCTAGCGAAATGTAATAGATACTGAAGCTATCCTCGGAAGCTGTATAGGTTTATAATACGAAAATAAAATAAAAAAAATAAACGATGGTAAAAATTACCCACCTGTTTGAAAAAATAACAGGGAGCTATCATTATAGTTTTGATTTGTCAGCGCCCTTACCATTAACCAGTATCTAGTATTCGGTTTTAAAGGTGTATAATGACAGTGTTCTTTACAGCAACTATTATTAGCTCCAATTATAAAATGGCAGGTGTGTTGGTCATCTTAAATTACTTAGATAAAATTTAGCTTTGCTATCACTTGTTGAACATACCTGTGAACGGATTCCATAATTTCGGTGTAAGCTGTATAGAATTTTTCGGTATTGGAGGCCAAGTTTTATAAGTTCCATTCCATGATCTATTTGTAGTTTGGATGTCAACGTGTTCTTTCAATAAAATTAAAGCGTAAGCAATGACTTCGTTTGTTGACTTTATAAAGTCATTTTTCGTGAATACAAAATAAGCTTTAGTTGAATCAATGGTTGTTGGTGGCGGTATGTTTGAAAATATTATTGTATCTAAAAATGTTAAAAGTGCTATGTGTACTTTTAGTAGGATTATTAACGAACAAACCGTTAAGAGATGGTAAAATTCTAGATGGATATGTTGAACTTTCAGGCTTCCTTACTTCTGGAAAAATTGTTCTAGTTGAAGATGTTAAATTTTCAGACTGACTTATTTTTGGCATACTTGTTGCATGCGGTGTGCTTGAAGATGGATAAAATGAAGACGGCAAAAGAGTTGGAGATATTAAATTTTCAGACTGGCTTATTTCTCGCAAAGTTGTTGTATGTGGTATAGTTGTTTTAGTAGTAGTGTCAGCTAAAACAAAAATTTCACAAATTATTTTGCTGATTTTCAAGCGCTGCAAGTAAACAAAGTGACAATGGAATTGTTTTCTGTGTCGTATGTGATTTTTTTACCATTTGCTTTCGTGCAACAATTGATCATCTGAAATTTTTAAGTTCTCATGCATTCGAGTGATGTATCTTGTTAGGTCCTCGTGTTGCACTTGGATTAATTTATACATTATTCGAATGACACTATAAAATTTCCGGAAACAATCATTGCATTTAGGACATTATAAGTAGAAATACACAAGAAAATTATGGAACAATTTGACAATTCCTGCAACTTTTAGTCATTTTTCTTTATTTAAAATTTAAATTGTAAAAAGATCGTTAATGCTTTTTAAATGACGTTAGACCACGGAGGTACCTCCGTGCGTTAGACCAATTTTTTGTTATTTGAAGTAATATTTTTTTAGACAAATAAATCAATACTTACCCTTGATACATTTTCCTGTCATTTTGTCACATGTTGGACAGTTGCTGCATGTGTTTCTACAAGATAAGCCCCACCTTCCATCAACACATGCTGCAAATTAGAAAATTAACTTCAGTTCATTGACACTGAATACAAACTTGAAGAAAACAAGATTTACTACAAATTTTTGTTATCTTACGTTCGACACATGACGGTTCTTGAAACCCCCACGAGCACACACAGCTTGAATTAAGTGAAGATTTTGCACAAATTTTGTAATTTTCACAGTAAGTTGTCTTTGGTCCCAGCAATTCTTCACAGCTTAAGTCACATCCGCGTCCTAAAAATCCAGGTTTACAGTCAAGAAGTGCATCAGGAATTTTTGTTTGTTCTTGACGCTTTGGAGACAAAAGTTCACATGTTCTGTATTTTCCTCTGTCGTTGTTGTTTAATTTTACTTTGTATATTGCTGTAAAAAATATTCAATGTATCTATTTTTTATTTATATTTATTTCTTATTGCGTTATTTAGTTAAAGATTAATGTTAATCATCAAACATGAATAAATTATCTGAGTTGAATAAGAAGTCACCAGGCAAATAGTGTTGGCACCTCTCAGAACCCATAAATTACCCGGTTGAAGTAGCAAATGCTATTAATTGGGGAACAAAATCTGCACCACCAGCTACATAATAAAATAATGCACCGTGAAAAAAAAATTGGCTTACTTTTATTTAGTTTTACGTTAGGACACTGCCGTATGTCTATTCCCCAGTAAGTTTTTCCTGGGCTGCCTGATGTTCGTCTGACTAACCTTAGAGTCGTGTTAACTTCGATTAAAACTTCCTGGCTTTTAAACAGGACATTTTTCGTCATGGAGCCACTGTTGGCTATCCAAGTAGGTATACTTTCTTCAGATGTATAGATTTCTAACAGGCAATTTGGGCAAAGATAGACATAAAACATCAAGCAAGAAATAGCAGGTGGAACAGACACTTTTGTTTCTGGTGTAGATATTTCACTTGGGGCTCTGACACGATCTAAAAAAATGCTATTAGAATATGTTAAATAAAAATTGATCGTCACTTTTTTAATTGTGTTTATTTGTTCATTTTATTCCAAATTTTTGTGTAGTGGAAACAATTGTGTAGGAAAGGAAAGCAAGTTCTGTTTCTTAAATGGCATTATAATTTATTATTGTTGTTACTATTTTTCGAAAAAAATCACGATTATCTATCTAGCATAGTAGAACATGTAGAATTGTTAAATTTCGGGCTTTTGATTGTGGAAGAGTATCACCATTTGAATTTACTTACACTTATGGATTTTCCAAGTTGTTTTATATCTTGTTTGGACGACCACTTCAGGATCACTTGAACATGGACCTTGACTGTAGAGGCTACTATCATTTCCATAAACTGTTAACATTTTGTTTTCAAAATGTAGAGTGTAATGAGTCCACGAAGTAACATTTACGGTTGTCGTCGTGTTACCCCTAGTTCTATTTACCTGTATTGTGAAGTCTACTGTACAAGGAATATTCGAAAAATAAATCGAAAACGACACTGAGGTAAACATGGAAAAATTATATATGTTCGTATGAATCGTTTTGAAACCTGGAATAACAGAAATCATTAACAGTGTATATTTATAGTTTTATTGTTTAAATAAAAATTGATCTTTTAATAAATTGATAAATGATGATTATGAAGTCAAACTATCAACATGAAGTTTTCCAATAATTTGAAATTTTGAGAAAAATTAGTGATTTAGAACTTTCGGCACATTAAATAATAATAAAAAAAAAATAGTTGCAAACACATTAGTTTTAATGAAAATATATACCTTCCCATCTTTTGTCGGTAACTGGTGCATGTGCCACATGTTGAGATTCTTTTAGATGCCAAAAATCGTGTTTAAAAAGAACTTCTGTACTTTTTGGATCTTCAACGATCGGTGGCTTTGTGTAAATCACCGAGTCTTTATTCTCCGCAACACATATAAAATGGGTCTCGTTCTGTAGCGAAATAATTTCTTGACAGTTAGCCACCACAAGAAACACTAGTACCAAAAAAGGGAAGATCATCTCTCATTTGATGGCTTCTGACCTGTGTAAAAAATTAGCCAGTATTAATCCAGTGTATGTCACATGTTAAATAGTTATGCAGCAGCTTTTTCGAAAAAGTGTAAAATTGATTTTGCAAATTTTAATTTTTCTATGGGAACGCCTGTAAGCTGGAAAATTTTGTGATGACGTTATCAACATTTTTGCAAGGACTGTGTATCAGTTTGTATAGATGCAGTGTAATACTAATAATAACAGTATTGTATTTCCAAATTTTCAAAACAAATTGACTCAATAGTTAAACATCGGATTATTTGTCTAATAAAAATGAACACAGACAACAGACAAACAGACAAGTAGTGGACACACAGACCGAAACAGGAGATCCCTTTTTTCGTACTTTGGAGGTCATAAAACGTCGAGGAAAACTGTAGCAAGTCGTCTGATGGACTCGATTGCTATACTGACTTACTCTCGGAAAATAAAAGTGTACCAGTATAATTTTTAGCCAACGTAAGTTCTGTAGTATTGCTGACATGTTTATTTTCTGATATTACATAATATTTGTACTTTATCATTAAAAACATATATTTGCAGTGCTCTTAAATTTTTTCGGTTGTCGGTTCCTGTTTGGTTATCGTCTTCTCCATCAAAGTAGATCAATATTAAGCTTAATTCAAACAGTAATCGATTTTTTTTTAAGTTGAGTAACTTTCAAAATGAGTGTTGTAAAATAAAACAAAGTGAAAAATGAGAACACACGGATGAAGGTTAAGAAAAATTGTCACAGGGGAAGAAACAAGGAAGTTACTTCAACGCTGTCCACTTCATTTCGTATTTTCATTTCCTAAATGTAAGCTAAGGAAACATAAAAACGTACATCGAGCGAACGGCTACTTTCATGTTTTTTCGTTTCGTCGTTACCTAGAGTACGAAAAATAGGTCTGCTGTTTTCCGCTTTCAGTTTTTTCTCTAACTGTTCGAATGTGCGCAAAAACATATGCATAGTATAATAACAGTTTATCATCGGCGTAAGTTATCCCGATCGTGGTCTAGTGGATAAGAGTGGGGAACGCGGGCCGGAGGTCTCACGTACGATGCGAAACTTGCCCTTTGTTTTTTTTTCTTTTTTTCTCGCGTTGTGTATTATCTATGTTTATGACGTCATAACAGATTCAAACTTCAGATCATTTAAATGTGGCACTGATGATTAATCGAATTAAATATAATATTTTTTGTGCAGCCGATACTGTCACGTGCCCCCAAAAAACTTAAAAAAAACACACTCCGATAAAAATAAAAAGGAAATTTAGAAAAACTTAAGAGAAAAACCTATTTATCTAAAATAACCCCGTGAGCCACCACACACACTCCCACACACACTCCCCCTTCCGAAGCTCCGGCACGAGCCCAGGAAGACTCTCCCGTGCTGAGCTTGCAAAATCACAGCTCATCAATCTATGGCAAGCTCAGCATTATGGTCTTCCCAGTCTCCCGCCGTAACTTGCTGCTGGGCGATTTCTCGAAGAGAGGAATCTCTAAATTTTAAAAACTCAAAAAGTTTAATATGACAATACGAATAGAATATAAATCAACAGAAGACATAGCGAAAACTTTAACCATTATCAACGACTCTCTAATGTCAGCTTGTGAGAAAAGTTGGTGTACCTTTGCCTAGTGTAAAGAACTAGGCAAGGGTACACCATGCTGGAACGGAAGGCCTACTTCATTACAGGCTAAGAAAACTTTTCAGTAGAGTAAAAAACACTAAGAAAACTGAGGACTGGGAAGCCTCAAGAAGAAAGAATTAAGAAAGAGGAAGCGGGAAACGTGGAAATCCTTCTCCAGCGACATAACGTCGACTGCTTCGGTCGCAAGGCTGAAGGGAGTTCTCCTCGAAGGACTACGCACATCAACTGGGTGTCCTAAAGAAAGAAGATGGTACTTGTACCATCTTCTACAGAAGATGGTACTTTTACAGCTGGCTTCAGCATGGAATTAATAAAAAATGTGAAAGATGTCATCATTAAGCCACTCACCAAATTAATATATCTATGCATACAAAACAAAACTTTTCCTAAATGTTTGAAAACAGGGATTGTCATACCAGTGTTCAAAAAAGGTGAAATAAATGACAAGAGTAACTATAGACCTATGTCCCTATTACCTGTCTTTTCGAAAATTTTAGAGAAAGTGTTATGTATACAATTAACGAAATTTTTTGAAGACAACAAAATCTTAGTTAAAAACTAATTTGGATTCCGTAAAGGGTGCTCAACATCTGACGCATTACTAAGTTTTATAGATCAAATTTCGGAAGTTTTTGAAAGTGGTAATTACTGCATTGCAACATACCTGGACTTAACGAAAGCTTTTGATCTTGTATCACATGAGACTCTTATTCGTAAATTATACGTATATAACATCCATCCAGATAGTTGCAGAATTATCAGTTCTTTCTTAACTGAACGCTTTCAGAGAGTTAGCCTTAACGGAACAACATCGTCTGATCTTCCTGTCAGCCGTGGGGTTCCCCAGGGGTCGGTACTGGAACCTTTGTTATTTCTAATATTCTTTAATGACTTTCTCATAGAACTAAACGAAAATAATGTAATTGTATTTGCAGATGATACAACAATCAGTACTACCGACAAAAACTGCTTTGAAATCCTGACCAGAAATCAGAGAGCGATATCAAAGGCTTCTGACTGGCTTTGTAGTAACGGGCTTGCACTGAATGAGGGGAAAAGTGTCAACATGTTGTTTTCCCTAAAAAAGTCACCAAATCTAGCTAATCTAACACTCTTACCAAATATTCAAACTACGAGATTCTTGGGAATCACGATTGATGACAAATTGCTTTGGAAAGAACATGGTGTCATATTAGCGAAACAACTTAGCAAAAATACATTTATGCTTAGAAGCCTTGCGAATCAAGTGTCACAAGTAGTTCTAAAAATCGCTTTTAGTTCCCTCATTCAATGCTTGCTGCGATATGGAATCTTAATATGGGGTCATGCACCTTGCAGGCATTATCTATTCTCCATTCAAAGGAGAGCAATTCGGATAGTTGCCGGTCTACCATATCGAGCTGATTGCCGCCCTGCTTTTAGGGAATTAAATATTTTGACATTTTCGGCACTATTTATTTATGAATGTTTACTCTATATAAAACAAAATATCCATATCTTTGACAAATTTGGGGATTTCCATGCATATAATACTAGGACTAGGGATAAACTGTGTTTGAAGAGTATTCGCCTAACGAGAACGCAGACAGCTCACAGGTACTTTGGTATAAAATTTTATAACTGTTTGCCGGCTGATATAAAAAAATCTCAATTTTGTCAAATTTAAGAAGGTAGTTAAAGAACTCTTGATAAACGGTGTTTACTATGATTATGATGAGTATTTAAATCGACATTGATTGTAATAATTTTTGTTTATGTTTTTTTGTGTTTATGTCTATATAAGTTGTGTTAGTTTGTTATTTTCTGACGAATGTAAAACTGTACAGTTTGGGCACGAATATACATTATTATTATTATTATTATTATTATTATTAAGTCTTCTTAGAAGACTAAGGTGGCTGTAAAAGTACCATCTTCTACAACTACAAAACATAGTTCGCAGAACTTTTACTGCAGACTATGTTTCCAACGATCTTGGCTACCACACAGATAATCTAGTCATTTTGCTAAAAGGAAAAAACGCGGACACATAATATGTTTTAAAAAAGTGCAAGCTACAATAACAGTAGTCCAGGAATGGTGCATCACGCATACCCTCTCCGTAAATGGAGAGAAGACGAAATTAATCGTGGTGTTGTGTGGGAGTTGCATTGAACTGGCGACTGAACTGGAAGAAGCATGTAGATGATAAAGTAGAAAAAGAACGCTCGGCTCTTTGGCAATGTAGTAGGGTGGTGGGAAGGACTTGGGGGTTTAAATCCTAAGATCCCCCTGTAGATCTCCACAGTAATAGTTAGACCGATGCTGTGCTACGGAGTTTTAGTTTGGTGGCCCAGAACTAGACAAAAAACAACACTCACACGTCTGTCTTACAAAAAGAACTGATGGGAATAATGCTGGGAGCTAGAATCGTTGCTGAACGTGAAATCGGCAACAAATCAATACGCATATTTACTGACAGCAAGTTTGCACTACTAGACAGCTGCATGGTTCGATCTGAGCTGGTTTGGGAGTGCAGAAAAGGACACAGTGGCAACGAAGGAAACGAGAAGGCAGATGAAATGGCGAAGCTAGCAAATATGGAAAACTTTAAGCAGCTGTCGGCAAAATAGAGCTTGTATAGCGACACTAGACCGTAAGTTGAAATTCTATCTCTCACTTTCAAGGGACAAACTGTGTAAACTGGTAGGATTCCTTATGGAACATTACCAGTTTAACAAAATATCTACATACGATAGGAGTGGTAGCAGATCCAATCTGTCGTGGATGCTATGAAGAAGAGGAAACAGCTGAACACATTCTTCGTGAGGGTCCAGCGATAGCCTCCTACAGGAAATATATGTTAGGGGACATCTGGCCTGGTATGGCAAAAATCACTATCTGCATTACTCAAGTACATTCAAGAAGTTGGGTGGCTTGACGAGTAGAGGAGCTGGAAGACAGACTGATATACCTGGGGAAAGCACAATGAGCCCTAAGGCGAGGCCTAAGTGCCGGCTGGTTACGGTCAGCCCCCATAAAATTAGAAATCTAGAAATCCAGAATAGTATTGGACAGTGGCGGCTCGTGAAGTTTTCTTCAGAGGAGGCTCAAATCTGAAAAGCACTACTTTTTACTTATATCTTTCATTATCTGAATCATTTTTTTTGTCGTGCCCACGAAAAGAACACTCTTGCGTTGATAGATAAACTATTGCATCGATTAGTCTTTTCAAAATTGCCCTATTTTCACCAACTTTCTCGTTATAGTTCTCAATATCCCTCTTATGAGCGGAATCTAAAGTAGTAGAAGAAAATATGCGTTCCTGTGATTTTTCATGCTTTTCTATAGCTCGTGACAAATTTTGTAAATTATTATAGCCTGTTTTATCCCAAACGGAAGATTTATCATTTGTGAATAATAATACAATTCCAACAGTATAATTTGTTTCTTAAAACCGAAACCGTTAACCATTTAGTTTTATGATAATTATTTTCATCAAATGCTCTGCTTTGCTTTCTACCTGTCATTACCATTAACGGGAGTGGTGGTGTTGGTCTCTCCTTTTGTTTTATAGCTATCTTTTTATCACAATCAAAGCTACTAAATTCATTTTTTAATAGATAATTTACGATATCTGCACATGAGACTGAATTATTTTCGTTGCTCATTCTCATTACGTATAAGTGATATCAATATGCCGATAATACCAGCTGTTTTTAACGATCAGAAATAAGACGCAAATAAATTATACAAAAAACACTTTGGCTTTACTAGGTACTACGTAAAACCTAAACACCCCTCACCACTGAACAGGGAGCACGCGAAACCACCTTAATTTTTTTTTCCTATTTACACCCGATCGCGTCAATTAATAAGAAAGAGATAAAATTATCCGTACGACTTGATCTGAAAAGAGATGAACTAGCCGGAGGCTAGCGGCCTGAAGCGGCAGCCCGATCAACGTTTTAGCGAATGCAGTACAGCACGATGATGCCTGAAGGTTGCGGTCTCAATAGTAAGATGCATTCTCGGCGGAGGCTAGCCTTTACCGCTGAAGCCAAACGCGGAGTGGTGTGAATTATCATTGTAAGGGCGCAAATATAATTTTTTGCGACATTTTAACCTGATATATGATGAAAGTAAATTAAATCAAACAAAATATTCTGAAAAGTACCAAATGTCTGCAAAAATACAAATTCTTTCATCGAAAAAATTAGAGGAAGCTCAGCTCCAAAAAACAGAGGAGGCTCAGCCTCCCCTGCCTCCTCTGAGGAGCCGCCACTAGTATTGGAGTATGTAACGGTAGAAGTGGCTTTAAGTTTCAGATCATCTAAGTGTGGTACAATAGCACTATTAATTTTATCTTCAATCATAGCATCCATGTTTGAAACCAAATCATTTAAAATTTGACTTTTCACATTACAAATGGTTTGATTGATATCATGGGGTAGAGAACCTTTCATAACAAGTAAGCTTTTTACATTATCATTGAGAGAACAGAGATTATATTTCATCGACTCAACGTTGAGTTTCACCAGAATTTCATACTTTGTGCGTCAAGAATCATAGATATACAATAGATTTTTACATTTTTGTAACAATTTAGATTCATTTTCATTTAAATTTATACACGAAAAATGAAGCCATCTGTTACATGGACCTTCACAGACAACCCTTTTGGACAGTTTGCATTTGCTGCAGTCTTATGGCATTACACTAAATGTATTGTGGCCGTCAAATTAGACTGAATGCTGCCTGGGGCGCGGTCGTGCTGCTACTCCTTGAAGTGATTAGCATGGTTGTAATTTTTATTACTCTCCACTGTTTGGGCACAGCATATCTCCTATTTAAGTACTAACTGAATGGTACGCGGCATTCGGCCCAAATTTATGGCATCTATAAGCTGTGGTTAGGGGTTTATTGAGTGCTTGAGGCGTTCAGCTTATTGTGACAGCTACTATAACTAATAACTAACTTATTTCCTCATGAGTGCTATAATTACACGAATGAAAACATATGTACTCGTACTTACCGATATCGATAAAGACAATGGGATTTTACAAAAAAAACAAGTCAAAAAAGCGCACATGAACAAATTACGGCCTGACACCGACCATTCACACACACCAAAGTTAGCCCTTCTGAAAAATTGTGTTTATATCTTTAAAACGTGTTAGTAGTTGTAAATTAAACCTTACCCAAGAAAGAAAATGTTAGTTGCCTAGATTTACAAAAAATGCGCTGTTTATATTATACATTGTTTAAAAATAACCAAAAGACGGACAATGTAACATAAAAACTGTTTTTGATGATAAAGTACGTTAACAAGGAACTGAATATCATTTCATTGATTAAATTTTGGCTGTTATTTTGTTAATAAACATACCTAAATTAATCCCTGTTGTTTCTCAAAATGCAAGAGTGCAATTACGATGTGTTCGCGGCCTAAGCAATCTCGAACCTTGTGAAACATCGCCCAAACTTTAAACACCAAAACACATCCAGAGACCCATTATTTTTGTTCACACATAACGCCCTTGAATCTGAATGTTTAAAACTAAGGAAAAACGTAACCACGATAAGGCAAGTTACTGATTGTAATATAAGCTTTAATCTTGTTAAGTACATAGCAATCGTAATCTCATGCATATTTTCCAAACATGCTGCTATCAAAATTATCATCACATATAGTGTAGAAACTAAAATTTTCAAATTCTGTTTTATATAAAGAATGAATTAGAAACTTTCTTCTAGAAAACGCCTGAATTTCAGTACATGGGAACTTTGTAACGTTCTCGCCTCTAAAAACTTTTCAAACTAAAATCATTTTAAAATTTATAATGTACCATTGCAATAATAAAACATCATAATAAATGTATACTATTCTGAAGAGTGGACTATTGTTAGTACAGTTATTAAGACATAACTCGAATAAGTTAGAATGTCTTAATTCCAATGCCAAATTATTCTTTGAATTAACGTAACATCACAAATTTGGTTTAAAAAAACTGTTCGATATATTGATGTAAATTACTTTGCAAACTTTTTCTTTAATTAATGCATGATTGATTTCGGCTGGAGGTGGATTGTCTTGCGACTCGCCAGGAAAATAGGCAGAAGAAATTATAATTTTCCTCTTGCCTCTACCCGTGGGCAACTCTGAAGCCACTGCAACTAAGTCAGTACTAATGAACTTTAGAATTGGAAAAAAATTAATGTATAATTGTTTTTGCCTCTCTTTTAAGGTATTATAGATTATCTTTAGTCACTTTTTGCTAATTTGCCTCTTCCCATTTTTCCAAGGCTCTTGAATGAGATCTATGTCAAAACCTCCTTTGACAAACTTCCGATGAAGCACTCTTGAGACTGTTTTTGCATGTTGGAGGTTTATCTGGAGATACTTCAGTCTAGTCTTCATTGTGACTTTGGCTTGCTCTTTTTAACGACGCTCCTCTTCAGTGTTTTCTTAGACACTTGTGTCCATCTAGAGTTTGCTTTGGGTGGCGGTGGGCTTTTGAAGTTTTAGGCTCCTGCGATAGCCTGTTCAGTTCCCTCTAATTCTTGTTCCTTGTTTCAACAAGGTGCATCTTTCGATGTCACAGGTGTTATGCTAATATTGTAACACAAAACGAATTAATTGGTAGGTAATACCTAATTTTTTAAATTAGACCCAACTACAAGTTCAATTTTTGTCAAAATTTTCTCAAACTTTCTGGGCGGAGGTTGATGTGGCTCTCAGTATAAAAATAGGAAAGTCAAACCGAAGTTGTACTAATTAAGTTATATATTTACTCATCTGTCTGATGAAAGTACCATATACCTGAACATAACATGTATTCTAGTAACACAATTTTGTCATTAATTATTATTTATTTCTTCTAAAGACAACGAAGTTAACTAATCGTTTGTTTTAAGCTGTGAAAAGATAGGTTCCAAATGATTCGTAAAGTTGTAAGTAAAAATTCTCGGTGCGATAAACCCGCCAAACTCCGGTCGTCCTTTATGAAAAATACCAACTCCGGATAGAGGCACTGGGTTTGCTGATTCCACAGGTTGAGCATCCAAAAATGGTACGGTTGTTTGGCCAGCATCTTTCTGAAAATCTGAGTTTGTAAACTTGACAAACTTATTCGTAGTAAACTGATTTGGAGGTAATTTTGAACTAGTAGGAATATCGACTGCATCCAGTTTCAGTTGAGGGCCAACTCTGGAAAAAAAACGAGTAGGTCACAGTTGAAGAGGTTCTTGTATATAAATACTCATATGAATCTTCTACAACTGCTTTAGATGTTTTTGTAAGTTCACCAGTAGTAAAATTAAAAGGCCGTGTGGAAACTTGTAGACGTAAGTGGTTTCTGAATTTATCAAGTACGAACCCAACACCAGTTACAACATTTCCTTCTTTAGCCATTATATCGACCAGCTGCAAACTTCTCTTTTCCCATGATAGTGTATGATAATCTTTACCATCGACGTAATTCCTTTGGGTAATTTGATAGTCTTCAGGTGCCAACCACTGGACACTTTTAAGATCAATCTGGCCGTTTGGAAGAAGTTTACCTTCTTGTATTTGCAGATGAATAACATGATTGTGTTCAATAAACTGCAAACCAGTTACAACCCTAAAAACATGAAAACCATATTTATAAATTGCGACTAACATAGCATGATTACCATACATATTGCGATGAATGTTCGACTCGACTGGTCGCATATTTATGTGGTTTTGCGTATAAAATTTTCGTCCTTCGTCACATAAACAGAAACAATAGGAGCATTTCCAAAAAACCCAACTTCTATAAGTTTCAAGAGAAGTTATATCAGTGTCGCAAGGCTTCTCTTTCCCCAAAACCCTTCCATTTCCTAGTTTGACGTATTCGTATCTTCTGTTGGTTTTGTACCCTTTCTAGAGCTGTAGTTGTTTATAAGAATATTATGCAAATAAATACCAGTTAATACAGAGGGACACACTTCCATCGATGAATCTACGTACTGGCAACCGATCACTTTTGAACACATTGCTTCTTTCCAACACCACTCATTACTGCCACAGTTATAATGTTTTATATAAGAATAAGCGTTGCATTCTTTATTACAGCTGCCATTAGGGTCCAAGTTCACTTTATTTATTATAATTCCATGAAGAAAATTTCTAATTTCCAGGTAAGTCTCGCCTGAAACGAATTACATGTTAATGAATTACTTCCTAATCGTAAGCTAGGGAAGTACTCTGCACCCTGTCTGATATTATTAGTTATAGGTACATGGTTAAGCATTAAATACAATTAGTTGTTCACCGGACCAAAAATTTGACTTCATTTCAAAATTTTGTTACGTGAATATGTGTTGTCTAAGTGATGATTTCACTTTAAAGTCTTCAGAATTTTTCTAAAACATTTGAAGAAGAAGATTATTTTCCTTCCACTCCATTAAAAATTGTAGAACTAAAGAGTAGAGCGACATAAGATTTGTTGCTAGAAAAATCACAAGAAATTTAGCAAGACGAATTAAACTTTAAACAATATGGTAATATTAAAAAATATTGACAATAACGAGATGGACAGTACTACAATGGTAAGAAATATTTATGGCTTACACCAATGCATCCGAATTTGTCGGAGAACATTTAGCAGGTAGTTGTACTCATAAAATAATGGTCATTTTCGTTCGTGAGTAACGATGGTCCCTGTCCGAACCTGGATTATTCTGCCTTCTAATATCTGGGGATTGCCAGCAGGCGACAACTTTAAGTTGTAAATATCTTTTGCTATTGCACTATTTCTATTGTTGGCCTCGTTATTGCCAATAAAATTTTACAGGGTAGAAAGAAATTTCCAAAACTATACGAGGTCGTTATCAGGTTGTTGGTGCGGATGATTAGCTACACGTTGGTTAGGTTTTTACCATCTACATTCCTAATACAGATAGACGGAGACAGCAGACCGCTTTTGTAATATGTAAGTAGCATGTTATCGGATTCATTCGATTCAATTTTGAAGTGACGTCATCACATTGTTGGTGGAGTTGATTAGACAAAGTTTGGTTAGCGTTTTACCATCTATTCTAATATACATAAATAAGAGATTGTCTGTCCAGCAAAAACCAACACAAACTGCCAACAGACAGACAGATACATAGACAGACGGAAATATCGAGAAAATGGCCAGTTTTCTAATGGACTCGATTACAATACATCCTTAGCTTATGTTCGGGAAGTAATAATATAATAAATTACCGTATTCGTAAGGTTGGAGATCACATCTTCGCAATTCTAAAGAAGCTGTTGTTAAATAAGTCTTCAGAGTGGACGTTAGATTATTTGTCCTCATCTGGAAATTCTCACTAGCATTTACCACTGCTTTTTTGAAACTCCCTTAAAATCAACATACAAAAATAGTTATTATGACTTTGAATAGAAAATAATTTAAAAAGAAAATTTACCTTTTGTTTCTGAATATATCTCTTTGATCATATATGCTGTATATATTGATACATAACTTTTTATATTAATTGTTTGTATTTCATTCATAAATGTGTGTAATATCTCAGCACCGGATTGTTTTTCGTGGCAATAGTAGTTGTTAATGGGCTATAAATTATACTTTATTAAATATTTCTCATAATTTGTAAATCTTACGTCTAAATGTTTCAGTACATTTTCTATAAAACTTTTATCTACCACTTTTTCAAACAGCAACTTAACCATAGAAGAAACAGAATTGTTGGAGGCGGATGATACTTTATCGGCAAAATCAAGCAATACCGTAGAATTGTATTCATCAGCATCTCGTATATATTTCTTCATAGCCTTGTAATAATCATTCAAATATATCTGTGACATGTGAATATCTTTTAAGGTTGATTTATGATCATTTATCATCAGCGGTAAATTTTGTGACATTCTGCTAATAATATTCGAGTTTTTATCTTTATCTAAAAGTTAGTTAAAGAAAATATGAGGAAACAGTGTAGTTGATTGCTTACCGCTTCGTTGAATTTGTCCAATTATTTCATCAACTTCAACAGTGATGCTATCTAGTTCCAACAGTAATAACAATTTTTGATTACTGCTATCTGGGTCAGTAACATTAGGGGATTCATTTGCGTTAGCAAAATTTTCTGAAATTACGTTCGTGACTTTTACACTTAACTCGAAAAGTGCTATGGAACACGAAACAAAAGAGATGAATGTGATGAAGAAGAAACATAAGAGAGAACTCTGCATTTTCGCACACTTATGTGGGTTAATATAAAAAACACAGTGAATAGTTAGTTATGTTATCATTATCACTTATCAAATACTGATTATTACTTATCTGAATGTTACAATAAATTGTTACCAAAATATTATTTATCTATAGGTATATTTCATTAAAAATGAAACGAAAAATGTGTGTCACATTATGCTTAAATAAAACTTATCTGCTTAAGCGTAAGCCAAACAAGTATTGTAGTAGGGTCCATCTGAATGCCTACATTTATTATATTTTCTTGATAGCCCGGTCAAAATAGACATTTCAAATAACAAATAATCCGACAGAGCTGAATTTTGGTAGAGACCTTGGGTACACCAGTAGAAATAAAGTAGCAAAAGTCCCCATAGATCGCATGTGTGCTATACAAGTTATTCAAGGTCAAATGTCAACATTTTTGGTTTTTTGGATTTTTCGCGAAAACGGTAAGTTTTATCAAATATATAGTTCAGACAAAAATTGTAGATCATAAAATTATCTACAAAAATGGTACTCGTACCTATACTTTTCTTCCTAAAAATCACCATTCCCAAGATATCGCCGTTCTAAAAGTTCAAGGAGTTGCATTCTACATGATATGTACACAAATTCCACGTATATATATAGTCAGACTCTTAATATAACTAAAAATACCATTCGTGTCTCTTACATGTATAAAATAACTACGAACAATATAATAAATAACTACTAACAATTCTGAGAATACACACTCAAAAGAAACTCAATCCCTTAGTCAGCCCCTTCTAATATAGATTGATAAAATCATTTAATTTTTAAAATCTGGAAAGGTTCAACAGCGAGCAGAAATATATTCTTCAAGCAGTTTATCTTTTTATCCAAAATGCCAAAACCATATTTTATTTTTACATGTAATAACCGGCTGCGATACTACATCAGCACTGTTCAGAAGGGGTAAAACATGAGTACTGAAATTACTTGAAAAAAGGACTTAACTGATTGCGCTAAAGTATTTGAAGAAATTGACGCGTCTCCTCAAACGATAATCACAAAAGGAAGTTGCTTTCTCCTTACGGTTTATGGAGCTCTAAAAAAATTTGTTGTTTCGACAAGTATAGATATTTAACTTAAAAAAAAAAAACGAAACAAGAAACAAGTACAACTATCTTGTCTTCCTCCAACATGGCTTCTGCTCATCAACACTTGTATCGAGTAGGCATACTATCAAGTTCACACATGGCTAGGCTATCAATTGAACCCCGAAGACTGGGGTTGGAAATTAACAGATAATACTTTGGAACCGATTCAAACTACACTCCCACCTGCTCCGAAAAAACTTCTAAACACAATTTTTTGCAATTGCAAAAAAGGTTGTTATACTAAGTTTGGCTGTAGAAGAGTAGGGTTGTTGTATTCACCAGCGTGCACTAATTGCCAAGGTCACGCTTGCTCGAATGTTCAATGGAATCCAACAGACGAAGATTCATGTGATATCGATGAAGAGACAACTGATTCAGCTTCAGTTGAACAATTTATGAACATCCAGCAAGAAGAAGAGGAAGAAGAAGAAGAAATTGAAGAAGACATGACTGTTGAAGTCGAATTTGAAGAGTATGAATCAAATTAAAATGTTAACAGAAATTAGAACCATAGTTTAAATCAATCAACTATATCAATATCAAAATCAATAATCATCATCCAGTAAGTACAGTATTTTCCCATAAAACTCCGTCATAACAGACCGTAGGCCTACTGGGGAAACCACGTTAAAAAAAAACGCGCCAAGTACACTACATCACAGGTCGTGTGGAAATGTGTGCATATCATGTAGAATTGTAACTCCTTCAACTTTTAGAATGGCGATATCTTAGGAATGGTCATTCTTAGGGAAAAAACTATAAGGACCATTTTTGTAGATAATTTTAAGCTTTATAATTTTTGTCCAAACTATATTTTTGATAAAACTTACCGTTTTCGAGTAAAATCGAAAAAACCAAAAAAATGACTGTTGACCTTGAATAACTTTTTTAGCACACATGGGATCTATGGGGAGTTTTGACAATTTATTTCTACTGGCGTACCCCAGGTTTGTACCAAAACTCAGCTCTGTCGGAGTTTTTGTTATTTTTATGTCTATTTTGACCGGACTATGACGTGTCATGAGCCCTAGAATAAGAAGGTTTCCTGTTTCCGTCTGTCTGCCGCCTGTGTTCATTTTTAATGGACGGATCTCCAAAACTAGTCGGACCGGGCATCTGTCCGTCCGTTCGAATGTTCTGGAAGCTTGCAAAAGTTTTAAAATTTATCCCTTTTCGTACCTCCTAAAAAGTAATGACGTCAAACTTTGCCAAATAAATCTTATGTAAAATGTCTATACTTGTAATTTATAATTATAAATTATATTTTTTAGAATTGCTTATACATGCGACACAAAAATTTAATAAATGACTCAATTTATTTTATTAATCGAATCAGCAACAGCAAAACCGAATGCTTTAAAATCATGCAGACGTTTTAAAGTTACCGTGAGCATGGTAAATCTGTGATTAAAATATAATCTATTTATCCCCTTCATAAAATTGATGACGTCATTTCAAAATTTTGCCAAATAAATCGAAAATATGCAAAATACGAGTATGATGAGTCTATACTTGTGAATTATTATCATTAGATTCATATTTATTACAATTGCTTACTCAGAGGACTCAAAAAAATTAATGAATGAGTCAATTTATTTTATGGTTTAAATTAGGAATGGCACTCCATTTTCCCGAGAATTTGGGAATAAAATACTCTTATTATTACTACTCACATAACCAAATTGATATTATGTGTCTCTGCAAAAATGTTGATGACCTCATCAAAAAATTTTGTAAAGTTTGTTTTAACTTATAGGGTTCTTATAAAAAAAAATTGTCGAAATAAGATTTTGTAATTTTTCGAAAAAGTTTTATTGTACTTCAGAGGTGAGGGAAGTTTTGTAACTTTAGAATAGGTTTTAATATTGCACTTGTTATCAAGTTAGATACGAATCTTAACTCTTTATATGTCCTGTGTTTCTGTTATCGCAAATGTGAGAAGTCGAAAGTCCTACACTAGTTTTTAAACAAGATTTGTGTACAAAATTTTGCGATAACGTCATTATAGTCCAATAGTTTGGAAAACTACTTGCCTAATGAAGTTACCGACAGATAACAAAGAAATAGAAACAGGGACCTAATTTTTCATCCCCTAGGAGCTAAATGAAGCGTCAAGAAAATACGAAATTAGCGCTTCGTCATATGGACTCCACCACAATAGTTTCCTAATTTACGCTCGAAAATGAAAACATGCATCAAACAAAATACAGCTAAAATACGAAAACCTTTTTTTTTCGTTAGTAACACCAAACAATTTCAATTTGTAATCAAAACATACTTGGCCTCATATTTTATTTTTCTACTAGAAAATTCAATGACATTTAATTCGAAGACCTAGGACCTATAGGTATATGTAGACACAACTATTGCACTAGATTACACTTGATACCTGGGTTTGCAAGGCATGACGCACAAACAATAGAATTAAATCTTATCAAAAATTGTAAATTGAAACCGTAACCTGATTACCGCTATCTTACCCAATTGAAATATTTTGTATCATGGCGTAGTCACAAATTTAAGTAATAGGAACTAAATTTGTTAGTTTTAAAGTAATAATCAGCTACATATTGTGAAACCAATATCGTTTAGTGTACACCATTATAAAAGTGCAGTAATATGATGTTAACTGTTTTTAACATTTACAAACATATCCCACTTCTAACGATACTTTCATGTGTAGTCGCACTGCAACAAGAAAACGAAACAGTGGAAAATATTTGTCCGTTAGTAAGTGATGTAGTGTCATCTGCATTGAAAGAGTCAAAAGAGTTATTCAGCAGCGATTTCTGGAAAAATGATGACTGGGAGATAAAAGAATCAAACAACTTGTTAAGTAGGCCTGATTTTGAAGACACTTTTAAAGGTACATGTTTCTGTTTTTTTTTTACTCCCGAGCGCAGTATAGATATATAACGTATACAGTAACAACATGAGGCTCAAAATCCTTTGTTCTTGGTGTGGTCAAAATTTATGACCTTGAAAGACGTCAACCAGCTTCCGGAAACTACGAAGCCTGCGAAATTTAAACGGAGTAGTACAGTGTGTGGGTACATATTAAAGCCTCCACCATGCGTTCATTAATTATTATTAGACTAGTGGTGGCTCTGAAAGTTAATGATTTCCATCGTAACTGATAAGGTTAGCCGCATTAGTATTTGAAACATCAAATTTTCGAATTTTTACTTCCCGAGCGTAAGTAAAGGTAGTATTGTAATCGAGTCCGTCGGCCGACTCTCTACTTTTACATTTTCTCGACTTTTCATGACCCCTAGAAAATGAAGAAATAGGTCTCCCGTTTCCGTCTGTCTGTCCGTCTGTCCGTCTGTCTGCCGTCCTGGTTTTTTATTAGACAGAAAATCTCCGAAAGTACTGGGTCGATTGTTGTGAAATTTTGTATTTATACTAGGAATATCATGTAGATGGTAAAACGCTAATCAAAATTTGCCTATTCATTCCCACCAATAACGTGATGACGTCACTTCAAAATTGTCCATAGTAAATGGGTTCCAAATAGCATAAAATAATTAAATAGTCCTACATATGTAGTTTATAATAACTCCAAATTGAGTTTTTACCCGAAACGTCCAGATTTTTTGAAAAAAAAAAAAATCAAAATTATGAAACAACATTTTGCAATTTAATTTGGAATCTGCAAAATCAAATGCTTTGAAATCTTGCAGCTGATTTACAGTTATAATAAGCATGACAAATTTTTATTCAAAATATATTTACTTGTACCCTACAAAAAATTGATGAGCTCACCTCAAAAGTTTGCCAATAAATCCTATCTAAAATATACAAAATATAATGAAACTGTACTTGTTATTTACCATTCCATTCATATCTTTTGGATTTGCATATACAGGGTGACTCAAAAAAATTAATGTATGGATGAATTTATTTAATTGATTTAATCAGGAACTGCAAAACTGAATGCTTTGAAATCTTGGAGATCTTTTACAGTTATCATAGGCATGGTAAATTTTTAGTCAAAATATATTTCCTACATGTACAAAATATGATGAGTCTGTACTTATGATTTATCATTCCATTAATATTTTTTGGATTTGCGTATACTGGGTGACTCAAAAAAATTATCATTGTATTTCAGGGAAATAATTCGACGGGCGGTGGGAAAAACGTAATTGACCCTTTGGGAATAGTATTCGGCAGCAGACTAAATGCCTGTGACATTGATTAAATGCACATACTGTATGTATTTAATGCCTGTGACAACAAACCGCTTTTGAAGTTGATAGAAAGCAACCGGAAACGCATGCGTAATCCGTCGCTCATTGGTTAATTTTAACTTGGCCGTGCAGAAATCTGACTTCGCCTGAACGATGTTGTTTCATTCTTTATCATCGAAATTTATATAATGTCTACTCGCTTTGCGTATAGTATAAAGGGTCAATAAGTAACACGGAATATACAGACGGCAAGCGACAAGCCTCGACTTTGCCTCGGCTCGTACTTGAAGATTAACAAAATTTGAACAAGAAGCGACACTAGTGTCGGTGCCTTGGATCTTTTCAGGAATTTTAAAAATTGATTTTTATCAAAGGTTGAATGTTGACTTAAATAATACGTAATTTGTCATTTATGTCGGGAAAATTGGTCGCACGTAAATTTGTTGCATAGTCAATTGATTGCAAGGTAAAATTCACCGCTAATTATTTTGTTTTTATAAAATTAAATTTTTTATGTTTTGATTCTTAAGGTACAATACTTTTAAAAAATACTTAATACTATTGATTTAAAAAAAAGGGATAAGATGTCACTGTCATTTGTTCTTTTTATTTAAACCACTTGTACTATGGCGGACAAAAAATTTCAAAAAAGGTCAAATTATGTTGACTTTTAAAGTATAAATTTGGCTAGCATTGCTGACAAAATAAATTGAAAGTGTCAAAATTTCAGATTTATTTTCAAACGTCAAGTCAGAATGACAATAAGGGGACATTTACAACGATGGTTTTTAAAATGGCATGGTTAGAAACAGTTATAACGGTTAAAATGTGTGTATGAAATAAGTTACGACAGAAATGCGATGTATGTACGCCTACAATGAACAAACACAGAACAGTTCGATATAGCTTTACTAAACACACTGTACACTTTGGTGAGCCTGCGCACTAGAAATCGTTTTTTCTATTTGGTGACACTGACGCTTCTTGTAAAAATTTGGTAATCTTCTTTGTCGTTACATTCCTTGTTATTTAAATAACTATTAATGAACCTAATTTTAAATATAAATCCTAACTTCCATATTAAAATTTAGGTATTGTGTTTATTGTTTTAAGAATTCGTTATAAAGAAACAGAAGGAAATAATTGTGAACTTCGAGAAGTCTTACAGTTTTTCGGTAAAGGGAACAACCGATATTGAGTTTTTTGTATCCTCAGAATCAGGCCAATTTTACTACCCACATCAAATAAACGATGAAAAGATTTGGACTACTTTTACTGTTAGTGTAAAGGATGGAAAATTGTTCTTTTATGAAAATTATACCACATTAATACAACAGGTCACTACTGTTCCAAAGACGTTAACCATAGGAACTCCGGAACCAGCAAACTTTAAAATATACGATTGTAAGTATATTAACTACACTGTACCAGTATATCAGCATGCTTAATATAGTTCTTATCCTTTAATTAATAGAGATGTATGATGTTGTAAGTTGTAAGACAGACAAAAAAAAATTAAAAATCTTTCACTATTTATTTGCTATTTCTGTGCAACAAACATTTAGAAATGAATTGGTTTTTACTCTTTTTAGTGTACTTTAAAAACATACGACTTCTTAGATTTCATTTGCCATTATCGTGAGTTACTGCATTTAGAATACAAAGTTACATTCGCCTAAAAATTAGTTTTCAAATTACACACTTTTTTCTCTAACCAGGAAAGAAACTTATAGTGGTTATAAGAACTTAACAAATTAACCTTTACACCGGCATTAGATCTATTCTTTAAAACACATTTTTTTCAAAGAAATTTTTGATACAAGGCAGCTGATCTCTTACGAAACTAATGTTTGCTCTAAATCTAATTAATTTGTTCGTAATTAATACGTTATTTTTATTTTTAGATGAGTATAAAGAAGCCACCAGCGACACTAAAGAACAGACATATACAAACAATTTGCAATTTCCAGGTTCCCAGGAGGTTTATTTAATTCTCTCTGTCTCTTTGTGTGACACTTGCGTCCTGATTGCAACATATAATAATACCAATTGTTTTATGTATTCATCTAATGACCACAATACTGAACGCTGGGCAAGTTACAAAATCAAAATAAATCCTAATATTTACAAAGAAGCAATTCTGACTCGACGTAAGCATAACTCAAATAACACGGGATACTGGAAATTACACTTAGGACTAACAAATCATTCAGTTGAACCAGGTGAATACTTGTATTGCAATAATATAAACCAAAGTGTTAACAGCATTATTATCAAATTTATTTGCCAATAAACAGTGGAAAAGCCTATTTGTCCGTTAGTAAGTCATGTAGTGTCATCTCCATTGAAAGAGTCAAAAGATTTATTCAGCAGCGATTTCTGGGAAAATGATGACTGGGATATAAAAGGATCAAACAACTTGTTAAGTAGGCCGGATTTTGAAGATACTTTTAAAGGTAAATGTTTCTGTTTTTTTTACTCCCGAGCGAAGTATAGATATATAACGTATACAGTAACAACATGAGGCTCAAAATCCTTTGTTCTTGGTGTGGCCAAAATTTATGACCTCGAGAGACGTCAACCAGCATCCGGAATGTACGAAGCCTGCGAAATTTAAACGGAGTAATACAGTGTGCGGGTACATATTAAAGCCTCCACCATGCGTTCATTAATTATTATTAGACTAGTGGTGGCTCTGAAAATTAATGATTTCGATCGTATTTGATAGGGTTAGCCACATTAGTATTTGAAACATCAAACTTTCGAATTTTTACTTCTCGAGCGTAGCATGACCCCTAGAAGATGAAGAAATAGGTCTCCCGTTTCCGTCTGTCCGAAAGTCCTGGGTCGATTGTTGTGAAATTTTGTGTTTATATTAGGAATATCATGTAGATGGTAAAACGCTAACCAAAATTTGCCAAATCATTTCCAACAATAACGTGATGACGTCACTTCAAAATTGTCCATAGTAAATGGGTTTCAAATAGCATAAAATAACTAAATAGTCCTACACATGTAGTTTATAATAACTCCAAATTGAGTTTTTACCCGAAACGTCCAGATTTTTTGAAAAAAAAAAATCACATTATGAAACAACATTTTGCAATTTAATTTGGAATCTGCAAAACCAAATGCTTTGAAATCTTCCAGCTGATTTACAGTGATGATAAGCATGACAAATTTTTATTCAAGATATATTTACTTGTCCCCTACAAAAAATTGATGAGCTCACCTCAAAAGTTTGCCGAATAAATCCTATCTAAAATATACAAAATATAATGAATCTGTACTTGTGATTTACCATTCCATTCATATCTTTTGGATTTGCATATACAGGGTGACTCAAAAAAATTAATGTATGGGTGAATTTATTTAATTGATTTAATCAGGAACTGCAAAACCGAATGCTTTGAAATCTTGGAGGCCTTTTACAGTTATCATAGGCATGGTAAATTTTTAGTCAAAATATATTTCCTACAAGTACAAAATATGATGGGTCTGTACTTATGATTTATCATTCCATTAATATTTTTTGGATTTGCGTATACTGGGTGACTCAAAAAAATTATCATTGTATTTCAGGGAAATTCGACGGGCGGCGGGAAAAACGTAATTGACTCTTTGGAAATAGTATTCGGCAGCAGACTAAATGCCTATGACATTGATTAAATACACATACTGTATGTATTTAATGCCTGTGACAACAAACCGCTTTTGAAGTTGATAGAAAGCAACCGGAAACGCATGCGTAATCCGTCGCTCATTGGTTAATTTTAACTTGGCCGTGCAGAAATCTGACTTCGCCTGAACGATGTTGTTTCATTCTTTATCATCGAAATTTATATAATGTCTACTCGCTTTGCGTATAGTATAAAGGGTCAATAAGTAACACGGAATATACAGACGGCAAGCGATAAGTCTCGACTTTGCCTCGGCTCGTACTTGAAGATTAACAAAATTTGAACAAGAAGCGACACTAGTGTCTGTGCCTTGGATCTTTTCAGGAATTTTAAAAATTGATTTTTATCAAAGGTTGAATGTTGACTTAAATAATAATTTGTCATTTATGCCAGGAAAATTGGTCGCATGTAAATTTGTTGCATAGTCAATTGATCGCAAGGTAAAATTCACCGCTAATTATTTTGTTTTTATAAAATTTAATTTTTTATCTTTTGATTCTTAAGTTACCATACTTTTAAAAAATACTTAATACTATTGATTTAAAAAAAGGGATAAAATGTTACTGTCATTTGTTCTTTTTATTTAAACCACTTGTACTATGGCGGACAAAAAATTTCAAAAAACGTCAAATTATGTTGACTTTTAAAGTATAAATTTGGCTAGCATTGCTGACAAAATAAATTCAGAGTGTCAAAATTTCAGATTTATTTTCAAACGTCAAGTCAGAATGACAATAAGGGAACATTTACAACGATGGTTTTTAAAATGGCATGGTTAGAAACAGTTATAACGGTTAAAATGTGTGTATGAAATAAGTGACGACAGAAATGCGATGTATGTACGCCTACAATGAACAAACACAGAACAGTTCGATACAGCTTTACTAAACACACTGTACACTTTGGTGAGCCTGGGCACTAGAAATTGTTTTTTCTATTTGGTGACAGTGACGCTTCTTGTAAAAATTTCGTAATCTTCTTTGTCGTTACATTCCTTCTTATTTAAATAACTATTAATGAACCTAATTTTAAATATAAATCCTAACTTCCATATTAAAATTTAGGTCTTGTGTTTATTGTTTTCAGAATTCGTTATAAAGAAACGGAAGGAAATATTTGTGAACTTCGAGAAGTCTTACAGTTTTTCGGTAAACGGAACAACCGATATTGAGTTTTTTGTATCCGCAGAATCAGGCCAATTTTATTACCCATATCAAATAAACGATAAAAAGATTTGGACTACTTTTACTGTTAGTGTAAAGGATGGAATGTTGTTCATTTATGAAAATTATACAACATTAATACAACAGGTCACTAATGTTCCAAAGACGTTAACCATAGGAACTCCGGTACCAGCAAACTTTAAAATATACGATTGTAAGTATATTAACTACACTGTACGAGTATATCAGCATACTTAATATAGTTCTTATCCTTTAATTAAAGATGTATGATGTTGTAAGTTGTAAGACAGACAAAAAAAATTAAAAATCTTTCACTATTTATTTGCTATTTCTGTGCAACAAACATTTAGAAATGAATTGGTTTTTACTCTTTTTAGTGTACTTTAAAAACATACGACTTCTTAGATTTCATTTGCCATTATCGTGAGTTACTGCATGTAGAATACAAAGTTACATTCGCCTAAAAATTAGTTTTCAATTTACACACTTTTTTTTCTAACCAGAAAAGAAACATACTGGTTATAAGAACTTAACAAATTAACCTTTACACCGGCATTAGATCTATCCTTTAAAAAACATTTTTTCCAAAGAAATTTTTGATACAAAGCAGCTGATCTCTTACGAAACTAATGTTTGCTCTAAACCTAATTAATTTGTTCGTAATTAATACGTTATTTTTATTTTTAGATGAGTATAAAGAAGCCACCAGCGACACTAAAGAACAGACATATACAAACAAATTGCAAATTCCAGGTTCCGAGGAGGTTTATTTAATTCTCTCTGTCTCTTTGTGTGACAGTTGCAGTCTATTGGCAATATATAATAATACTAATTGTTTTATACATTCATCTAATGAGAACAATAATGAACGATGGGAAAGATATAAAATGAAAGTGAATCCTAAGATTCAGAAAGAAGTAACTCTGAGTCGATTGCAGCGTTACCCATACAACGAGGGATACTGGAAATTGCACTTAGTACTAATAAATCATTCAATTGAACCAGGTGAATACTTGCATTGCAATAATATAAACGAACGTGTTAACAGCATTATTATCAAATTTATTTGTCAAGTATACAAACAAAATAACTACATTTTTAGCAGTAACTAACACAGGATCTCCTATTAACCATATTTACGCTTTAAATGTTGGAACAAAAACGCGAGGACACTGTTATAATCTAAAGAAAGAGTCCTTCCGATCCTTAACTCGACAATATTTTTTGTCTAATAGTGTTTTCAATGTTTGAAATTTTCTACCCGATTATGTCATTAAGAGCTCGTCACTTTTAAGTTTCAAAATTAATTTTGATAAGTATATGGGTGACGGCGATAAATGGATCTCTTAGCAATTGATGAAACTTCATATCGGATCAATAATAATGACTGTTGTACGCGGGCATAACAGGTATTTCCCTCTACCCAATCGGACTATAATAACAATAAAAAAAAAATATAAAAAAACTATGTTACATGCTTTGTTTCACTCTTGTTCTACTTCATACTGAGAGCGGACTATCATCATAATTTTTATCTTTTAATGTTGACAAGAATGTTTTGCTTTCTGAAGAATATTTAATAGATTTTGCTCTTAGTGATAATAATCAAACAAGAATTTGTAGCATTTTAAAATAAAATTATCGAATATGTTTAGCTCAAGAATTGGTAGCTAAAAAACGACGCTAACCGGTAATGCAATCTTAAAACGTCATTTAAGACACTGCTTTTGTTTCAAACAATTTATAGTCGCATAGGAGTATTTTTTATCACATTACATATACCTACATAGTATACATACACACATACGTTTATTTCACTTTTTTGGTAGCAGCAAGTATAACAATATTTGATCATTCAAATATAGAAAAATTGTTAATTCGGAAATTTGAACATTTACAGCACACAATGAATTTTAAAGATTTTGAAATATAACCTCCACAACTACTGACATCCACTGATTGATTTCATTACACTCAAATAAAGTTAGTTGTGAAATAAAATTAGAATAATATATATATATATATATATATATATATATTTTGTATATTTGTTTATTCAGGACTAACTTTTTTTTTTTCAGGTAATTCAACTAGCTGGCCATACACACCGTTAACAAGAACAATAATTATAATTATTACAGCAATCATAATTGCAAGTAAATAATAACCATAATTTGTAGTTTATGTTACAAAAAGCTCTATTAAATCTTTTATAAAATTTGTATTTCCATCACAGTATAGTATTGTTTTCCAAAATATAGTGTTTTGTACTTTTTCATTGTATGTACTCGCGATAATAAAGTCCAATAACTATACTATATATTTATTTATTTATTTATACGGGCAATTCGTGAGTTACGTCACCTCCGCCAAGCGTAACGTGGTGGGTGAAAAAGATTGAGTTAGCCCTGCCAAGTTTTTCTTTTTTGGTGGAAAGGAAATGCCTACGCAGACCACCGTGTTGGTTCTGGCCACTTCCTCGACCCACGGGGTACTGGAGGATTGGTTACCGCCCTAAAACCCCTCCTTCTTCTGCTCGGGTACCAGAACTTTGTCTCTTTCACCCGGATCGCGCTTCTTGGGAAGACACAGAGGTGCTGTGCTACCAAGTTCGGTCAATTCCACTATGTCTCTGCTGGGGAGGGTTCTTATGCAGCGGCCATCCCCTTCTTCGCCGGTCCATGGTCGTAGAAACAGCCAATGGACGAGTGAGGGTGGTTCCTTTAGGGGTGATAGGGCGAGGTACGAGCAGCATCTTCGAAAGGGTATTAGTGGAGCGCCTTGGTGCTAAGGCATGTTCGCTACACAATAGTAATAATAATAATAATAATAAACACAATGCAATATAACTAATACATTATGATACAGTTGACTCCAGAAAAAAAGGGAATGGAATTTTTGTACAATGTAAAATGTACCTGTCTCTTATCAATTTGACAAATCTGTTAAATATTTGTCACTATTTTGACACAAAATTTTTGAAGTCTCATTAAGTCATTATTATTCTGGAGCCAACTGTACAATGGTGTAGTAACGAATGTACACGACTTTGTACTAAACTGTAAAATAAAATTAAGAAGTAGGATGAATTTATTATGAATTGACCTTTGGAACTATCCCAGGAATATTTTTGCATAAAAAGACTTTAACATTAAGGACATAGAATCACAAGATAGTTCCCAATTTATGACTGAAAACCATACTATCGTGCACTTTAAGCATTTGGAAAAAAAAATGTTTGTACTGTGAAAAACTATTTCACGAGGACTTAGGACAAGATTTTGTTTTCTGACGAATCTGTTGTTTAAATGGTCAGGTGAACAGACGCAACTGTAGGTACTGGTCTGACACAAATTCCTACTGGATGGAGAAAATTCACACACAACGTGCAGAAAAACTGAATGTTTGGTGCGGTATTATTGGTTACCATGTAAGTAAATGATGCTTTTATTTATTAATGGGAATTTAAATTCTGAGGGATACTTAAGGCTGTTGCGGAAACGCTTAGAGAATTGTTTCCCAATTACCAAAATCCGGAGTTATAGTTACCGTATTCGAGATACACCCACATAAAGTTTTATGGGACCACTCACTCAAAAATCGGTGCTCCTGAAACCGCAACCATAAATTATGAAAAGGGCTTGACAGGTCATTTTATACAGAGCCGTATTCGGGTTGAGTTGAAAGTTTTACCTGCTTTCGGTAATGTTATAGATATAATATTAGAAAATATAATAATCGTCCAGAAAGTTCTCCCGCTGTAGTAAATCTCCTTAGACAACAATCAGAACTCATATCTTCTGAAAAATGACAGAATTGTATTCGGCATGTTATAAAAGTTGAATCAACATTTGTAAATACACGGCCTAACGAAATTATAATTTCAATAAATAACGACTCATCTGAGTCTGAAAGTGACTTATAATCTTATAAATATTATTTAACTAATACAATTTGTCTTTTATTTCACCTTATTTTTTTAACACAGTACGGCCCTGAAAAATTCCACCGGAACGTGCCGATATCTGGTCGCATAAGGTGTTAAAAGCAATAAATTACTGTTGCCATTGTGCAGGGGTTTCACTCATTATCTGTCATAAAGTTTTATGTGGGTGTATCTCGAATGAAATTTGTATACTAGTAGAAACTATTTGGTTTGAACAAAACGGTGCTCCACCCCATTTTGGACGTCAAGTGCGATAGTATTTAAATGAAACTTTTCCTGATAGATGGATAGGCCGAAGAGGTACTACTGAGCTGCCTGTCAGGTCACCGGATTTGGCACCGCCTGACTTTTTTTTATGAGGCTATTTGAAGAATCGCGTTTATATCAATAGATTTACAAAAAAGCCTACGTAACGAAATTGCTAGTATTCGTCCAGAAATTCTCATTAACTCATTACAAAAGTTTAGTCAGCTTCTTTTTTCCTACTGCCAGGAGTAAATGAAGAGCATTTTGAGTATCTTTTGTAGAAAACAGAAGTTTACTCATAGTTTTGGTTGTGATTGGATAATTTATTTATTGTTTAGTATTAATTAAAAAAATAATTTTTTATTTATTTAATTATTGTTTAATAATTTATTTTGCCATTTCAGTCAGAAACAAAGTATGATTGTGCTATATCAATGAATTCAGGAAAAAAAGTTCTATTCAAAAAGGCATTAATAATATGTGCCATTTAAAAAAATCAAGTTCGTAAACAAATGAAGCAAAAAAATATATATATATATAGTTGACGTTATTTCCGGTTCTAATGGAAGTGATAATACAAATGTGAGGTTGCCATCACATAGATCTTTTAAAATGATACAAATTTGCTCGAAGAACTACAGGTTTATCTTTGAGAATAAAAAAGTTATAGGGGTTGCATCAAATAAAAGAAACACCCTGTATAGTAGGTACCTGTACCCAGATACTTTACACGAAGCTTTTAAAACTTTACACGGGATTCGTTATTTTTTCGAAAAGTGTTACGTTGCATGTTTAGTTAATAATAACTAATATTGCAACTGTTTATATTAGAGCAAGAACAATTTTATTTATATTATTGGAAAATAAAAAAAATATGCAACGATTTTCATTTTGAAAAAATGAAAACAATAATTATTATTTCATTAATTTTGTAATAATAATAGCCACTATCTTATAGTACACTGAAGAAAAATGCAATTATTGTACTATATGTGGGTATAAAAATACCTATATTAAAAGAGTAACTTTATCTCGAGAACCAGAAAGTAGTAGGTAGACACAACAAAAATTAGTGAAATATAAATTTTATTTAACTTTACTTTAAAACCGTAACAATACTTTTTCAGTCGGATATAGTGAAATTTCAAATTATACCTATACGCTTTATACATTTATACAGTTCGAATGCAGCTCCGGTTGTACGTGCAACATGGTAGAAGTAAAAGGGGACCCAACTAATGCTCGTTCCTAAATATATTATTTGTTGCAGTTTACTTGTATCCAAATACAAAGTATATATTTATTTGCTATAAGCTAACATCAGTTTTAGCCTCAAGCTAAGGGGTTGTTTCAGTTTCAGCAATGGTTAAGAATATATCTTCTAATGAAATTGCATTCACTTCATAATTCACCACTTCTTCTTTATATATTTCCTTCATCTTCTCTAAGTTTGAAAACAATCCACTCAACCTTTGGTTATCATGCAGGACTTCGTAAGTTATTGTATTCTATAAATATAAAAAAATCTATTTATATGGATTTTTTTTTAATAATATAAAACCTTACAGCGTATTCTTCTTTCAATTGAGCGTTTAACTTTTCTGACATGTGGTTTTTAATTTTTTGTGAATTGCTTGTTTCACTTTTAAGTGTCACAACTATTTTAAATCCTTTTTGGTATTTATTTTTCAGATACAAAAGACTCCCTTGATCGTTAATTTGACCACTTTTCATAATTGCTATTCTACAAACAAAATTCTCGTTTCAAAGTTCATCATACCTAGTTGATACGTACTCATCACACAAATTTTCACATTCTTCCATGCTATGAGAACAAAGCAAAAAAGATGATAATTTCATTTGCTTGAATAATGACAATATACGCCAAAATTTTCTTCGACTTGCTGGATCAACACCACTAGTGGGTTCATCGAGGCAAATGACTCTAGGAGATCCTAAAAATGCCAGACAGCAGTTTAGTTTTCTTTTATTTCCTCCACTGTATTCAGAACATGGTTGATCAGCGTACTGATTTAAACCTTAAACGAAAAAAAAAACATAAATATATAACACTAATATAATTTTCTTACCAAATGAAATCAACAAACTGTTAGTTATTTGTTCTATGCGTTTAGTCTCATACCCTCTTAAGTATGCTATAATACGTATTAATTCTCGTCCAGTTAAATAGTAATTCAAACAATTTTCTTGAGGGCAATAGCCTATTTCTTGAGAATACTAAAAAATACACAGTGATGAATAGGTGTTGTTTATTAAGATTTTTATTACCTGTGATTGGTTTATTGTTAATTGGTTTGCTTCTTTTTCTGAGTTTAAAGAAATACTACCATCATCGAAAAACAAATCCTTAGTTAATATGCGCATTGTGGTAGACTTTCCAGCACCGTTGACACCAAGTAATCCAAAGCATTCATTATTTTTTAAATGAAATTTTAACTTTTTCACCACGGTTTTGGCTCCAAATGTTTTAGTTAAGTTTTTAATTTGAAGAGATGCATCTTCGATATCTTCTTCGCTTTCACTATTTTTATGTCGGTTATTAAATATTTTAAACGAGTGTGGATATTTCAAGACGTGTACAATTTTTTTGTAAAGTTCACTATTTATGAAAATTAAGAGTGCAAAATGTAGTCCAAATGCTACAAACATTAATGCAAGATCCTCTCCAATTCCAAATTGTTTATTTAGAAAATAATTTTGGTATGTGTGGCATTCAGTCGTTTCCCCTGAAACATAGAAGTGTTCAGTCGGGTACAAAACGTTTATTTCGCTTTTATTGTTGTTAAAGTTTGATTCTATTGTAAATTGTAATTTTTTGTAAATTTTCATAACATTGCCTTTTTCTTGTTATATTTATCACAGCATATTTCAAAGATCTATTCTACTATTGATTTGCTGTTATGAGTTTATAACCCTTAAACTGAGTTAAAATAGGAGGCAGACAGGATGAGTCACTAAGCGCGACCCTATTGCGAATTTTTTGTGAAGCCTTCCATTGCTAAAAAAATTCAAGAAAATAGGAATAACGTGGCAACATCTCATCAAATATAAACTCTGGTTGTAAAGCCTAAGAAGACGTCAATCAAATTATGTAAAAATATATAA